AATACTTGTATATGCAGTACATTATTGGAATAATACATTAAATCTATTAAAATCTATAAATAACACTTTTTAGAAAAGGTGATTTTTAAAAATTTTTACCATGATCCATGGTAAATAAAGACATGCATGTTTTATTGTAAGCCTTTATGCATACATTTATTTGTGCCATAACAGTTGTAAGTACATAAATTAGTCTTACTTGGCTGTTTATGTGTTTATTATCTTTCTTGCCAACTAAGCAAGATTTATAAAACTACCTTTTATTATTCACTGCCACGATTCCTAGGAATTATATGATAAAGGTATATTTGCTACGTGACTAAATGAGATAATAGTTATTAAGTATTTAGTTCTATTAACTAGTTTAGTAAATATCTTGATAGTTTACTATAAAGAGCAAAGAGATTTGACTAAGAGCTGATAAACGTACAATTGAAATCTCATATACAGCCCTATATGAGAAGTATAATCATATGCTTTTTTCTGGTTTCAAAAATACTTTAAATGGCCAAAATACTCTAGTAATTCTTATCTTAAATGTCTTTTAACATTACTATTAATACTATAATGCAGCAATTGTTTCATGTTAAAGCCTTCAATGTATACTTTCTAAACATTTGTAACATGTTTTAATGGATATTACCATATCTTTGCCTGGATCTACACTGTCTGTTTAAAAGGAAGAATTTCAAAGTAAGCCTGTAAGTTCTAGACTAGTGACAACTTCAGAAATACTATTTTCACAGTGTAAAACATATGAAGTAGCTCTAGGTTATTTAGCAGATATAGCTTATAGTTCATAAAATTTATTTTTTCACCCCCAGGCTTCCTAAATTCTAGCCAGTGCTGAATCTAATAAAAATAAATATCAACGGAATATTTCTTTGAAATTTCAATGTATTTTTCTCTATGTGGGGGAAAAAGATTAAACATCAAGTGTTTTCAGTCAGAATATTAATTTTGGGATATCCATATCACTTGGTTAGATAATAGAAATGAAAATGACTTCATTTTCTCAACTTGTTCTCAGCTTATTTAAGTTTCCTATTTCCCAAGCTTCAGCAAACTCTCATACCAGAAATGCTATGGAAATAATAGTGATTTAAGCAGATCATGATATATTGGCTTCTATACAACCCATAGTCATCTGAGTGGTTAAAGCTGACAACCACAGCCAGAGTCTAACCATCGAAGAGCGTTTACCTCTTTACAGCAAGACAATTCCACTAAATCATATAAATATAATAATGCAGTTTTAATGGAAGGTGAAATTGGTACAAAATTTGAACTGCCACTATTATTTACTATCCTTCTCTATCTTAAAAATAATCCCTTCTGGCAAACCATGTGTAGTATGCAGTAAGAACACTTATTTACAGGAATCCTTATATATTTACATGACTCTTCATTTTTTTTATACACAATGACTTGAGAATTTAAGAAGAATAAAAAAGTTAAAGAAAAGCAAACTTGTAAATGCTCTTACTAAAATGACACCCAATAATTTTGTATTTTCTGACATCAAAGAAAATTTATTAAAAATGTCACTTCAAGAAATATATTAAGAAGGAAAGTAAGGAAACAGAGTGTGATGTAGAGTAAGTACAGCTGCCTATAACTAAACTATTTGGAGTCTGCGGATGTACCTCTGAACTAAAATAATGTGGGAGTTTAGGCTACAAACATAAACTTTATAAGTCTCAGTTACATTTGTACATAAGAGTGTTTTAAGAAATAGCACATAATTTTTAAAAATCATGTAATTTTTAATCCCATTAAGGGATTCTCAGTAATATTAAAAGCAAAAAATGAAGAAGAGAGGACTTTTAAATTTTATAGTAATTATTTTGATCATTCAAATTTGTAAGTCACTATAGAGTTCAAAGTATCCTTAGAGATAAAACCATGAATCTTGTAGTGTTACTAAAAAAGGAACACAGGATGACATTGAGTAAAAAATATAACAGTGATTCACGTTAAGAACTTATTATATTCTAAGCATTGCGCTAAGGACAATGAGTAGATGACAGATAATAGGTAGAAAACATTTCCTTATGTGATAGATGTTACAACCCTATTGTACCAATAATCCAACCATGGTGAAACTTTTAAACATCTTAAGAATAAATGACTCAAAGAGGCTAATTTAGTTGTTTGTTGTTGTTCTTTTATCAATATATATATAATCTATGTTTTAGTTTATTTGCACCACTGTTATTTGCCTAGATTCCCCTAGTTATGCCAGTGGTTGCCTCTATGACTTTCCTTTTCCTAAAATTCCAGTTCTGATGAGTAAAGTCCATTAACATTTACTTTGGACTAAGATTCATTATGCTGTTTTGGTACTTTAGCTTTGAGAAGTGAATTTATTTTCCCTTATTTTAAGAGTAATGATTATCTTCAATTATTCCTAAAATTCCAAACTGAGGTTATCTGTGAGTAACATAAATATATAACAGTGCCTTAAACAGTATAGAAGTTTATTTTGATATTTTTTTTATCATTGAAATCAACCTGGAGGCAAGCCATCCAAGGTTAACATGGTGACTCTACTTCAGAATATTCTCAAGAAACAACAGATAATCACTCCAGCAATCCTAAAACATAGTTCTAAACTAGATGATCTAAGACATTGCATCAATTTTAGAGGTAGCAAAATGGAGGGACAAGAAGAAAGGAAAAATATCTCTTGAGGTAAGTAACTGATATGTCACCTTGGCTTACATAACATTGGACAGAATTTAGGTACATGCTTACTCTTACCTACAAGGAGTTTTGAAAAATATGATTAGTTATATAGTACGGGAGGTCATATATCTTGCTAAGAGTACTTGATAAGAAAAGTGGATATTATCTCTGCCGTATCTCATAACGTACCTAAGATAGGGACTTTTAAAAAGGGAAGAAGGTCAGGAGATTTTAAAACTTATTTAGTCTGCTATTATCTAGTGCAGACGTTGGGAAGATTTTTTTACGTGCTGAGAATTCCATAGTTTTCACTGGTAGGAATGCAAAAATGGTACAGCCACCTTGAAAAGTAGTTTGATCACAACAGCAGACTGCATTAGACACCTCCTCTGAGAGCCCAAAGGTACCTATAGATTTTCACGAACAGAAGGAAAATAGCTTCATTAGAAGCTATTTCATGCAGTGCATATCTCATGAATTTTCTGAAACAAAGGTAATTACTACTAAGTAAGAGATGCTCAGATGTTATATCAGAAAGCAGAATTTGAGATAAAAGAAAACATAACAAGAACAATTATATGGCATGGCAGACCTTTCCACAAGTACAATAGCAGGATGATATTCTTGCCTTTGAATTTGTGAAAATGCTGTTAAAACAAATGTGATTCACAGGGATTCTTCTGTATCTTGATCTGTAGATCTACAAATATTTCCAAGGAAATGAGAAGGATATCACAATCATTGATTCTGTTTTTGTAGCATTTTAAGCAATATAATGGACTAAATTTATAATTTTCAGAGCAAGAAATTGATTTGTGTATCCAGTAATCTGTGTTTATAACCTAGGCAGTATCAGCAAAACTGTCAACAGTCTTAGGATGGATGAGATAAAAATCATCTTGTGATGAATGAAAGAATTTTTATATGTGTGTCTCTATGGAAAGCACTATCAAAGACTGAATCTTAGTAAGCAAGGAGCTAAAGCAGCAACCTGTTTACCTCTCCAGATGATGCTTTGAGTCCAAATATAACCTTGAAAAGGCCACTTTAAGAAACAGAATCATGTTATCATTTGAGGTCCAAAAGCCAAATAATAGTCCTATCACAACCTCTGCCAGCTTTACTAACATAAAGAAAGCAGAAAACGCAGAAAGTTCTACTTAGGTCCAGTGGTGGAAGATCACTGAATGAGAAATTCATGGTATCACTATCATTTTCTTTTCAGTCCATTTCATCTCAAAATGATTATGTAAGTGGAGTGAAAACTCAATTTTGTTAGAGTGTATGTGTGGGCTAGAAAGGAATTAGATATATTATTCCAATTTCTTGAGCAATGAACCATTCTAGCCTAATCCAGAATGAAAAGGCTTTTCCACAATAAATTCCAAGAGGATAGGTTCTATGCTGGCTTTAGTTAACATTCCATATCCAGTGATTAGTACTGTGCTGGAACACAGCAGGAAATGATTGTTGAGTGAACTGATACATGAATAAGATGATAACAGACAGCATCAAATTGTTAGGTCTGTGTTGGACTTTAAAGCACTACAGTGCCCTTGGCATCAAATGTGCTAGTAATGGGAAGAAATAGTGATGTAGAAAGTCAGGTAGGATGAGAGATGTATAGCATAGCAATCAATAAATACAGTTTCAAAAACTAAGAAAAACAGTTTGTGGACTCAAGGAGGTGATTACAGGCTAGGTCTACCCCAAGAATAAAATAGTTAAAAAATGAGTCATCCTTATTATAACAGTTTTGATATATAACAGGTATCATCATAAACTTCAAACATTTCAAGTGTACACTTATATGATAGTTTTTAATAACTTTGAGTGGTATAACCATCATCACAAATCACTTTTAGAGCATTTCCTTCTCTGCAATAAATTTTCTCATGCCAATTTACAGCTAATCCCCACTCGTGCCCCCCAGCTCCATGCCATCATTAATCTACTTTTAATCTCAAAAAATTTGCCTTTTCTGGGTATTTTATGTAAATGTGATAATAGAATATATAGTTTCTTATGTCTGGTTTCTTTCACTTAGCAAAATGTTTTTGAGCATGTGTCTATAGGTAATGAGCATTTAATCTGTACCTTTTTTGCAGCTGAACAGTGTTCCATTGTGTGGCTGTAAAATATCTTGTCAATGTGGCATACAAACACAAAGACACAAACACACACAGATATAGTTAGTTTTCATTATTTATAGTAGTTTTATTCTATAAAGTCTCCATGAACATAAAATTTAGGAATGCTGAACCACTATTCCTAGGGGGGAAATATAATCTTAGACCCTAAAAACAACTCTTCCTAATAGATTCTATTTTCTTTATTTTATAAAGAGAAAGCAAGGTTCAGAAATGTTAAGTGACTTTCCTGAGACTACTCCACTAACAGGTGCCGAAGTTGTGATTCAGAACTCTTCGAATGGTCCCAGAGACAGAGATTTTTGTGCCACATTTCACTGCTGCCTGTCATCTCTATTCTCTGGTCATCTGCAGGAGTCTGAAACAAGATGGCCAAGTGTCATCACCTTATGTGACTTTACGTGGGAATTTTCATAGCCAGCAACTTTAATTGTTTGCTTCTTTGCTAAATGACATTTTTATATACAGATGTACATATATAATTCATATACAGTCAATCCTCATTATTCATGGATTCCATATTTGAGAAGTGACTACTTGCTATAATTTATTGGTAAGCCTCAAAGCAATCCTTGAGACACTGTTGTAGTCACTAGTACACACGCTCAGAACTGAAAAATGTGAGTACCCAGAAATGCACATGGCTGCACTCTACCTTCTTGTTTCAGCTCTCATATTGACAAGAAGTGTCATTTCCAGTGTCTATTTGGTGTCACTTTATCACACATTTGTACCTTTTGGTGATTTAACTTTTTGAAATGGCAACCAACCGTAGTGATGAAGTTCTGTGTAACATTTTTGGACACAAGAAAGCTATGATTGGCCTTATGGAGAAAATATTTGTGTTAGATGAGCTTCCTTTGGGCATGAGTTATACTGCTTTGGCTATGAGTTCAGTATTACTGAATGAACAATATGGCGTATTCAAAAAGAAGATATTTTTTGATCTCTATGTGAGGGCATTCTGGAAAACGCTAAAGTAACATCTATGGTGATGGAAGAAGCTATGGAAAATATAGAAAAGTGGCTACATTTGTGGATTTATTAGATGATGATGGATAAGAGCAAAGTGTAGTGGACAGCATTGTTACAGCGCTGAAAACTCACTCACGTGACTATATTCACATTATGGATAGGCTGAATAGGAAGGCCCAGGTGCCTCCTGCTGGTTGCTTCAATTCCCTGCCACAGGACCTCTCATCTTCTAAAGTTAGACTGAACTTCACACATAATGTTCTCAAGTTTTCAGGAGTACGAGAGCACAGGAAGTAACGTCTCGTGTGTCCTAGATTCCTGGATTCCTACATCTCTTCTTCTATATCATATTGGCCCGTACAAGTCTCAACTAGTACAGATTCAAGAATATGAATAATTATTTCTTCAAAAGGGGGCCCACGACTGTTATACTGCGCATACATGTGGACAGAAGATGTGGTTCAGTGGAGCCATTATGATAACCATTTACTATACTGGGTATACTTTTTTTCTCTACAAGCTAAGGACAGAAACTTTCCCATTCCATTTGAAATCATGCCACTGGCAGTATAGGCTGAAATTATATGGACTAGTACCCATTTTATATACTCCTGTGAAATTAAGACAACCTAGGTTCTTGTCTTCAACTTGCAATATAAAGTGGCATCTGAATTATTTACTGATTCTTTGAAGCAAACACATAATTCATAATATAATACTGAAAAGGCCTCTAATGATCAGAGAAATTAAATCAATGGGCAAAAATCTGCCCACAATATAGAAGTAGCCACAGAATAATGCTTATATAAAATCTATTAATTGAGTAAAAGATGGATATTATCCCAATGAATTATATAAGGCAAGAATATTCATGGTCTGAAAACTAATAAAAAATATAGTAATAAAATGGAAAACTAAAAGCTAAATATATGCATGAATATAGCAGTAAAAATCATTCACAAATATCCACATCCAAGATGAAAACAAGTGGTAGATAAAGCGTAAGAATGATGAGGTTTAGTTTTAACATTCTTAGTAAAGATACAGAAATTAACATTGTGCCACAATATCTACAAAATATGTAACACCCTAGACATTTGCACAAAAGTTGACTCAAAATGGAACAGAGATCTAAATGACAAATGTGAAACTATAAAACGTCTAGTAGAAAACTTAGAAGAAAATCTAGTTGATATTGAGTTTGGTGATGAGTATTTTTTATAAGGAATTTTTTTAATGTTTATTTTTGAGAGAGAACGAGTATGAGAACAGGAAAGGGACAGAGAAAGAGCAAGCTCCAAGCTCTGAGCTATCAGCATAGAGCCCAACACAGGTCTCAAACCCACAAACTGCAATATCGACATCTGAGTCGAAGTCCGACGCTTAACAGACTGAGCCACCCAGGCACCCTGGTGATGAGTTTTAAAATGTGACATCAAAAGTAAAATCCATGAAAGAAAATATATATGTAAAACTATATTAATATTAAAAGCTTCTGCATTCCCAAAGCCACTGTTAAGAAAATACATACAAGCCACAGACTGGGAGAAAATAATTGAAAAGCATATATTTATATGCTAGCAGTCTTGATATCCAAATATAGAAAGGATTGATTCATAAACTAAGCAAGAAAAATCAGTTAAAAAAAGACAGTCTGAACAGACAGCAAGGAAGATATACAAATGTCAAAGAAGCAAAGATTATCTACTTCAAATATCATTAAAGAATTGCAAATTAAAACACTGAGGTACTGGTAAATACCTATTACACTGATCAAAATGCAAAAAAAAACAAAACAAAACAAAACAAAAATAAAAACCCTTGAATATGTGGAGCAACAGAAACTCTCATTGCTTGTAGAAATGCAAAATTGTATAGTCACTTTGGAAGATAGTTTCTTACAAAGCTAAATGTAGTTTTACTTTATCATCCAGTAATTACACTCTTAGGTATTTATCAAACTGATTTGAAAAACTATGGGGCGCCTGGGTGGCGCAGTCGGTTAAGCGTCCGACTTCAGCCAGGTCACGATCTTGCGGTCCGTGAGTTCGAGCCCCGCATCAGGCTCTGGGCTGATGGCTCAGAGCCTGGAGCCTGTTTCCGATTCTCTGTCTCCCTCTCTCTCTGACCCTCCCCCGTTCATGCTCTGTCTCTCCCTGTCCCAAAAATAAATAAACGTTGAAAAAAAAATTTAAAAAAAAAAGAAAAACTATGCCCACATCCACACACAAAAAGTGCACATAAATGTTTATAGCAGTCTTATTATTAATTGCCAAAATATTAAAGCAACCTATATGCTCTAATAAGATGGATTTAAAAAAAAAATTGTGTGGCATCTATACAATGGAATTTATTCAGCAATAAACAAATGAGTGATCAATCCATCATAGACATGGATGAATGTTCAGCGTATATCACTAAATGAAAGAAGTCAACGTGAAAGAATATCCACTGGGGTGCCTGGGTGGCTCAGTCAGTTGAGCGTCCGACTTTGGCTCAGGCCATGATCTCGCAGTTCATGAGTTCGAGCCCCACATCGGGCTCTGTGCTGACAGCTCAGAGCCTGGAGCCTGCTGCAGACTCTGTGTCTCCCTCTCTCCCTGCCCCTCCCCTGCTCGTGCTCAGTCCTTCTCTCTTAAAAATAAAATAAAAAGTTAAAAAATGTAAAAAAAGAGTATCCACTATATGATTGCAATTATATAGCATTCTGGAAGAAGCAAAACTATAGATACAATAAAAAAATTAGCATGTCAAAGGTATAGGGGGAGAAGAGTTGAACAGAGAGAGCTCAGAGAATTTTCAGACAGGATAAAGTATTCTCTAGGATGTGTAATTGCAGCTGGCTGACATTATGCCTTTCTCAAACACATTGAAATTTAATGTATAAAAATATTTAAAAACATTTCTTAGGAGGTTGGGGATTCCTAGAATAGAAAGCAGAAGATGACAAAAGAAGCTGACGGTATTTCAACTACCTTTAACAGTGTCACTGCCTTAGTCCATTTGGGCTTTGTAAGAAAACACCACTGACTGGATTGCTTATATACAGCAGAAATATTTTTCTGATAGTTTCAGAGACTAGAAGTCTGAGATCAGGTAGCAGGATGGAGGGAGGGAGCTCTTCTGGATTGCAGACTTTATGTACCTTCACATAGTAGAAGGGGCCAGGGAGTTCTATGGGATCGCTTTTGTAAGGGCATTAATCCCACTCATGAGGGCTTCTTCCTCATCATCTAATCACCTTCTACAGGCCCCACTTGCCAATACTATCATGCTTGGGGTTAAGATTTCAATATATGAATTTGGGAGGACACAAGACCATAACACTCAAAAAGTGGGTGGAGGAAAATGTGCTGAACCAAATAACCATGTAAATGAATGGAATCTTTCAAACTGAAGGTAAAAGAAATTGTACATAGTGTAATCTAGCTAAAAAAATGTTCCCACAGAGATACATGTTAATAGTTGTGACGGTGCCATCCATGTGTATAGGAATTGAACAATTAAGTAAATGGATAGCAGAAGGTGAAAATCAGGTTTTTTACCTTTGGAATGGGCAATTTACACATAATTATGGGGATGAGATTATAATGATCCATGGGGTAATGGATGAGAATTGGAAGAAATCAGTATACAGACACGTATACAGTTAGATACAGAAATATGTATAGATATACAAATATACATAGATTAGCAACATACATGTATTTTGTTGCCCTGAAAACTGAAAGGGCCTAGATGCAAAGAAACTGAGTAGCAATAATTACACTTAGCATTTCAATCATGGTTTCTAATACCATTCACTAAAGGAAGAAATAAGGGCTTCTGATTCAAAGACTGGAGGAGGAACTGCACAAGATGAGCCTGGAGCAGGTTCTAGTTCCAGAGGATGATACAGAGCTTAGCACACATACTCATTCACACGCATGTATGTATGCACGCACACCATGACAGTGGTATGTCAAAGGGACATAGACACCAAATGAAAAAGCTTCTGATGGCCAAAACTGTAACAATTTAAGGGACAAAATAAATACATTAGCACTGGATTATGATTGAAAATATAAAATAGGGGCACCTGGGTGGCTCAGTCAGTTGAGCTTCCAACTTTGGCTCAGGTCATGATCTCACGGTCTGTGAATTCGAGCCCCGCATCAGGCTCTGTGCTGACAGCTCAGAGCCTGGAGCCTGCTTCAGACTCTGTGTCTTCCTCTCTCTCTCTGACCCTCTGACCCTCGTTCATGCTCTGTCTCTCTCTGTCTCAAAAATAAACAAACATTAATATATATATATATATATATATATATATATATATCCATCCATGAGTCCATTCTAATGCAAATAAGTGATTGAATAAGAAATAAATGGGGGAGAAAAGATAAA